AAGTCCCCATAAACACTAATAATGGTGATGAAAGTGATGAAATTAAATAACAGCATTCATTTCAACTTGTAACTTGATTATAAGGTGCTTGTTTCTTATCCTAGAGAGATGGGGTTGGTATGGTTGAATTGATGACGTTTTAATGTTTAATTAATATGGGATTTCAGCGGAGCTGGTGGTAGCACCGCCTCGGCACGTAGCTGAATTTCAGGCGCACAAGAGGCCGAGGGGACACTGGTACGTTACCCGTGCCGTCAACCTGTATCAGCTTCTCTTCCCCGTTCGCTTCCGTGCCGTAACTGAAAAAATAAAAACAAAAACAAAAACGAAAGTTTTTAATAAAAAAACCAAATGTGGAATGATTTTGTTTTAACAAAATAAGGAATTTTTGTAAGGGAAGTTTCAAAAAAATAAATTATTATTTTTAATGATCTAATAAATAATTCAGTAATCATTTATTTTCGTTGAAAATAAGAGATCTAAACTCAAGTCGCGTTACATGCAGATGGGATGAAATAAGAGATGAAAGATGATTGTCTTTCATTATACAATTAAAATAAAATATAAAAAAAAGTTATTATCCTTCAATTATAAGTTACTAATGCTAGTTTTTGCCTATTATACTTATACTTTAATTAGACAATTCTGGTGCCGCGAACAAGTCTCTTATCATAAAGTATTTATATTTTTTTATGTTAATAAAAAATATTATTTATTTTTAAAAATAAATTATAATCACATTTAATCAACAAAAATAAAAAAATATTAATATCTAACAAATATTAATAAATGAAAAAATTAAAAATTTATTTAAAAAATACATTTTTTTAAGTTTCACATCATAAAGTGAGGATAATATAAAAATATTTAAAAAAATAAAAGAACGGGAAAAATATTTAGACAAACTATATATAACATAACATTCACAAATAAAGTCTGAAATTTAGAACTTTTTTTTTCAATTATTAATAAATGCATTCTAAAGAATTGTTTTAAAATTTTCAAATTTTCTTTGAATCTTTTAGAAAGAAGCATTTAATTTTCCCTAACTAAGTCTCCCTATGGCTTTATTAAATAGAGAAACAAAAAAACAAAATATAGAAAAGAAATACATACAATTCCTCAATCCTAAAATCAAAAGAAAAATGATACAATGCTACCTTCGAAAACAATATATATATATATATAAATACATACAATTTCTCAATCCCAAAATCAAAAGAAAAATGATACAATGCTCCCTTCTCATTGGTTAAATAATAGTGATTGTATTTATATATATGCCAAGAAAGTAAAGAAATTATGTACTATAAGACATTACGTTGAACTTTGGTTAAAAAAAGCTCCTTTCACTAAGTTTGTGAATTTTGCAAAAAAGCCTTGATTATAGTGACCAAAGACTAAAAAAGAAAGTGCTTTGCTCCTGTTACTCTATTTTGACCAAATTCTTTTCATTCTTTTCCCCTCAAACTCAATAAAACAGTATCAAATAATAATTATGTATCCAATACTTTGATTTTATCTTTTATTTTTCTATAATTATTAATTAACCAAACACAAGAACTCTTCCACAAAATAAAAGAAAAACATCAATGACAACTCAATTAAAATTTTCATTATGGTTTTCAAAACTATAGAATTAAAGAAAATTACAAAAAAATATTTGACAAAATATCATTTTCATGGAAAAATGTGGATGGCAAATGATATATACTTATTATAATATTAACTAATGAATAATCTAAATTACAACTCATATACTTATCCAAAATCACAAAATAATAACACACTTTAAACTCTGTAGAATTACTACCAGGAATCTGGGTTTAATGGAGAAACCTTAAAAAATGAATATGCAAAATTCTTATGACTTCCATGAAAATTAACAAATCCCCTCAATCAAGATGACAAATGAAACTCACAACACAAATTCAATTGGAACAACATACAAATAGAACACCACAAACTTGGCTTTAACTTTTAACCTTTATTGCTTTTTAGAAGAACTAACGTCAATGATAAAATCAAATTTCCTTGTAAGGGTGAATGAAATCACAATATATATATATATATATATACGAAAAAAAAATCTTAGGAAAGAGGAAATAATAAATTTCTAAAAATTAGATTAATAGAGAATTGGAAGAGCATATAGAACAAATATTTAATATTTTTATTAAAAAAAGTATTCTAAATTGACTGTTATTTTTTTCTATTCTAACATTACTATTTTCTTTACATTATCTCTACTTTTACTAATAACTTGTTGGTTTAAATAAAAAGAGCTTGATTTCCTTTATATAAGATCTTAGATTTTATGAATGAAAAAATAAGTACTAAGAGAACTTTCTTATTTATGAGGTATGATATGACTCAACTTTGGATGATTGAGGCCAATATAGCTTCCAGATACAGAGGGTTAGAACAATAAATAAAAATTACCTCTACCTTCTCATTGATTAGCCAATTCTATTTTCTTTAGAAAAAATTACTAATTTATAAATCAAAATAAATTTAAAGAATAATGTAAAAAATTAGTTTTTGAAAATTCTTGATATGAGTTACTATCATAAATAGATTTAAAAGAAATAAAATGAAAATTAAGAATTTTTTAAGGCCAACCAAAAAGTAAAAATTAAACTGAAAAATGGAAAAATAAAAATAAATAAATAATGGTGCATAATTTAAAAGATGCCTAAGTCAACAAAAAGAGGTGAGGTTATTGTTCATAGAAAATTGATAATGTTGCACTATTTGCTGTTATTTACCATTTTACCGTTTCTTTTTTTGATATTCATCTATCTCCAAGTTTTCTTTACTCATCTTCTTTTCTCTCTTGATAATCAATCTTTAATACTCTTGTATACCAAGTTTAAATTTATTTTTGCAAATTTATTGTGAATTGTATAAACATGTCTGAAAAAAACAAAAACAAATGCTTTATTTTTCTCTCTCTATCACCTTCTCTCTAAATTTCCCTAAAATTAATTTAACTCAACAAAAATTTACTTTTCTTTAATTAAAATATATGTTATTAGGATAATAATTGATACATTTTATGATTCAACATATTTCATAACACACTTATTAAAAAAATTATTATTTTCAAACTTGAATTTAAGGTGATAAAAATTTTAATAATAAAATTTAATAGTTGAACTAATAAATATTGATAAGTGTGTTAAACCAAAAGGTAAATCAATGATTTTTCATATTATTATAATCCTTAAATTGCATAATACCCATAAATGTAAGCACCAGACCAAATATTCAATTTATCCTTCAATTATGGGATAGAAACAAATTCACCCATTGATAAATAGTAAGAACAAATGAACCATATAACAAATCAAGTCAAACAAATTATCTAATAGTTGACAAATTATATTATTCTAAGTCGACATTTGTTAAAACTCCATTTATATAATTTTTTTTCATGACACTGATGTGAATCCATCTCACCTTGATTTTGCTAACATATACAACTTTCTTAACTTTGGTTGAAAACTGTAAGACACTCACGAGATAGTTTGCTTCATGCATTCTCAAACACACACCAAGAGAAGGTAAATTTGATAACAAATCACCTTGCCAATATGGCTCATAACTTGCCTTGGGGCATTATTTACATCAATATAACTTCTATTGAAATGTTATCAATTAGAATGAGAAATGTTGTTGGGGTCATCTTCTTCATAATTAGTTTGGTGGAACTTTTGCTTTCAATTGTATAAAAAAAATTATGTTATTTTAAGGTGATAATATATTAACTTAAAATTAAATTTTTAAAAATTCAGGAAAAATTCTTTTAAAGTGGATTTACTAAATCTTTCCTTTAAATTAAGTGATTGAAGGCTAAATTCTAAATCTTGTATAAGTAAAAATGCTCTAATTATATGCTTCGTAAGTGTATTTGGATTTTTTGAGAGGTCCAAAATACCTTTTTTTGACAAATAATTAAAATGTTAAATACTTATTAATTTTAATTAAATAAACATTAAAATTAAAAAATAACAATAAGTATAACTCTCCCTCTCATTTCTTTTATTACTTTGATTAATGATTTTTATTTTAATACTTGAACATAATTCAAAAATTCAATTTTAATTACTAAAATTTTGATTTTTTTAAATTAATACGGTTCATGTAATTAATAAAATTCTTTTAATCTTTTTAAGTAAAAAATATTTTGATCTTTAATCATTAACTAAATGAAATATTTCAATTAACTAAAATTTTAATTGTATTATTCAAACAAAAAAATAATTTTAAATATCAAGTAATTTAGAATTGAACAAAATATGTTCATTTTTAATGATGAATAATGTAGAGAGAAAATAGACAGAGCATTTTGATTGTCATTTTTTCTAATTTTATAGTAATTTATTTAATTAATATTAATTGATAAAATTTTAATATTTTAACTATTACATTATAAAAGGGTATTAGAGGCATTATAGAAAATTTTGATATACTTTTAATTAATTTTGTTAGAGTATTTTTACTTATATAAAATTGAAAATTATAATTTTACCAAATAATAAATAAAAATTTAGTTAAAATATCCTAAAATTTTTTTAAAAAAATTAACGTCATCATAAATTAGCAAGAATATATTTTTTAAAATAAAAATTGTATTTAAAGTTTGATTAGTTAGTTGAGGGGAAAAAGAAATAAAAAAGAAAAAGAAAAAGAAGAGTGCATACCGAAAAGAATGTGCAATAAAAAAAAAATGTGAAAGGAAATTAAATTTAATAAAAAATGGTCAAAGACGTCGGGTTAAAACTAGTGAATAGAGAAAAAGAAAAGGTCCATGTGTGCGTGAGTTGTAAGGTATATATGAGATTTCAGGCAATTTCAGACTAATTGGTTTTGGAATTATGCTGTGTTCCGTCACTGTACCCATATAAGTGTTTCAAAAAAGACAAACCCCCTTGAGTGGGGGCCCACCCCCGATTGTAGGGCAGTTGTCCCACATCGACCTGTGTGTGTGTGAGTTGTAAGGTATATATGGGATTCCAGGCAATTCCAAACTAACCGGTTTTGAAATTGTGCTGTGTTCCATCACTGTACCCATGTTAGTGTTTCAAAAAAGAGAAAAAGAAAAGGTAAGATAAAAGGGTAAATTTATAAAACAAGAAAATATTAACACGTGATAATAAAAAGTAAATTAAGGAAAGTTTATAAAAATGATACGGAAAATGACTTTTTTCATTGGATTTTCTATACAAATATATATAATATAAATAGTGCTTATCAACCTTACCTCATAAAAATTAAGAGGAAAATCATCACAAAACTACGTC